CAACTGCCTCTCACGAGTAGATATATACTCCGAGGGTCGAAAACGCGTCAAATCGCGACAACCGTGACATTCCGAAATGACAAACGCGCGGCATCCTACATAATCAGAACGCGCGCCTTCCCGTCGCCGCGGAAAACAGGATGCGCTAGATCCCGCGGAAAACGCCTAGATACAGAACGCGTCTAACCGCAACATCCTACAAATAGCTCTTTCCTCTTTTTACGTTCCTGATAAAATAATACAACAATAAAGTAATAAAATATTCTCTCTCGTCATTATTAACACTCCTACGATTCCCTCCTCGCGCGACCTCCATTTCTCATACATTTCCGATACCGTTGACCATGATATCGCAAATTGAATCTCTCGTTATTATTAACACTCGTACGACGATTTCCTTCTCGCGCGACTCCCACCTCTCGTCTCTCATACGTTCCCGATAATATAACGTCACCATCGGTATCGCTAATTGAAGACTTCCGGCGCGTCGCCGATCCGCCTCTCGCCCCCCCGCGATACGCAAACGAACGAGGAAAAAATTTCGTCTCTCTCGCAGTTAGTCTTATTTTCATACATATTCATATATACAATCCATAGTTATATTACGATTATAGTACATAATTATATGCACGCACACTTAATTGCGCTAATTGTTGCCAACACGCTCTCTTCTTTTTCTCTCCTTCTCGTACGTGGCTGACGAAACGGTACCGCTTTTCCTCCAATACTTGCGATGAGCGCAAAAAAACATTTCGTCGTCATCGTTGTCGTTAAATACATCGTAATAGCCGCTTTCATGAAAATTCACACTCCTGTCGTCTGTTAATCTCGATCGGCTTCTTCTTTTCGTAGAGTATCTCCAGTAAAAGATTATATGTCATCCCTCGATAGTGATGACATACACACGCCTCTATTACCTTTTTAGGTGAAATCTCACGCTGAGGGGGAAATCGACAACCATGCCTCTTTAACTGATTAGAAATCGAAGTGTATTGTCCTCTCACGACGTACTCCGTCACATTGACCGATGGATACGCCGTCACATTTCGCAATGGAGAAGATGTTAGGTCATCCAGCGAATGGCACCAACACATCTCATCGATCATTCGTGTCTCGCATAGCTAGCACCGATTCGCTACTTTAACGGTTCTCGCCATCGTAAACACGGCGACAAGTATCGCTCGAAAGAATCACCTCGACACGTCAAACCGCAACGTTCTACAAAACAGCACGAGCGGCACGCGTTACATCCTCATAGACGACGCCTAGACATGAAACACGCCTAAGGCGACGTAACAAATCGCAGCATCTTGCAAAACTGGACGCGCTAGACCCCGCGGAAAACGCCCAGACGTGGGAAGCGCCACGTCCCGCGGAAAATGCTAAGGCGACGTAACAAACCACGACATCCCCGCGAAACTGGACGCGCTAGATCCCCCGCGGAAAACGCTAGGGCGGCGTCGAAGACGCGCCCGAGGTTACGCGGAAGGCGCTAGACCCGCCCGGAGGTTTACGCGGAAGACGCTAGACCGCGCGGAAAAACGCTAGGGCGGCGTCGAAGACAGGAGAAACCGACTCGGGGAAATCCCGCGATCGCCTTACCGACCGAGGAGAATAAATCTATCTCGACGACCGCCAGAGGGATCCACCTTCTCTCCCCCGGTTACGAACCCCCTGAGGAAAGAAAACCATCCTTACTGACTCAGAAGGATATTCCTCCGGATACGAACTCCCTGGAGATTCTACTATCCCTCCCCCCCGCCCTTTACCCCCCTTGACCGCCCCCGAGGGGTTACGGGTCCCCCCTTGTTTACCTACTAGATGTCTTTATTCTAGTATTATCAAAGCCAAATTGCCTTTCTGTTCTGGAATTATTTTATAATTTTTAATATTAATAGAAAGATTCTCGATATATTATAATAATGCATAATAATAAGACTAATGAGAATTTGTAAATAATGTGCAAATTATATGTTTCTTAACTACATCTTAACTACATTTATTAATAAAAAAATTCCAAACATTTCTCGAGTTTGAATCATCTTCAGTGATACAAAAATGTAAGGATATAATAAGGATATAATAAGGATAATAATAAAAATATAATGAGTTTAATCGGTGAACTCAAGCATAAAAAAATAATGATAATATGTCACTCACGTCAATTGACTAAAAGAAATTATTAATTAATAAGTAAATTTTAAATGTGAGATAATATATTTAAATCGAAATATAAAATAAAAAAGTCATATGAAATAAAAAAGAAAGAATAATTATAAAATGATTGTTATTTACCAATACTTAGATACATATAGATCACAATAAAAAGAAAGAGAAAAAATACCTAAGAGAGCAACATAAATCTCGTTACATTAATATAACAACGAGCGTCCGAAACCTCTAGCTCAAGATGGAAGCATATGCGATGTAAATATTCAGTACCAAACTGTGAATTTAAGCTATTATTCTGTTAATCTTCTTTTAATGAAAAGCATTTCGGAAATCAATCGCTTACATAGATTACGTGCACTATCTAAAATTTTAACGTTATCCGATGTTTATGACCGCAATTTATTCCAGTTTCGGTAATTACTAAATGCATTTTAGCTTTTCTATGAATGCAATTCATTCAATCTCGTTTTTAATTGTTTCATAATCTGTCTCACATAGCACACATCACAGTTATTACAACAGATCTTGTACATTTTTTTTTTAATATACTGGGAGAGCGTCCTTGTGAACTTTGACCAAACTTTTCAATTTATTCTAAATACTAAAAAAAGCAAGTTTAGCGTAATTATTTTATAATTATTCTTTCGTTTTTATTTTATAAACGATTTGAATGTACCATATCACATTTAAAATTTATCTAGTAATTAATAATTTCTTTTAGTCAGTTGACGTGAGAAAAAGATATTATCATTATTTTTTATGCTTGGACTCACCGATTGGACTTAGAGATTCTTATTATATCCTTATTATATTTTTATATCCTTATTATATTTTTATTGAAGATGACTAAAACTTGAGTTGAAAGAATTGGGAATTTTTTATTAATAAATGTAGTTAAGAGTAAACATATAATTTGCGCATTGTTTGCAACGCTGATTCTCATTAGCTTTATTATTATACATTATAATTCTTATTCTTATGGAAAAATCAGAATAAAGAGGATCTGTATTCAGGATATAAAGATAGAAGGATTTATCTAAAAAATTTCTATTATTTCTAAGCTCAGGAATACATATTGCAATATTAAATTTTTTATTTTTTGTAATTTTTATCGTGTGTTTACTAGACAATGACTGGACTACTAGACAATGGCATTTTATGTGGCACTATGATCAGAAAAGTTGCGAAAAGTTACATAACTAGTGAGTTCAACTCAAACTTTCATATCATATACGATTTCATATCAGCGTGATCGATATCTATAAGTGTAATATACAATGTGTTCTATAATTAGTAATTTCTCATAAGCGAATAGAGAGAAACAGCGAGTTATATTGAACTGTTTTCTACATATGATTCTACAATTTTTATAATAGTAATTTTCATAATACCATGATTATTTATGTAAACTAAAAATTCAATAAACGATTTCTTTGAGGAAAAAAAATCTTTCTCTTTCTTATTTTCAAATGATTTTAAATTTTCTATTCTCTATTCAGTTATTATAGAATAGTTGAAATAGAGTTATTTGCTTTCTTAAAACTATTTCCCAGTCAAGAAATCGAAGAACAAGTAAAATAATTATTTCGTCTGATAATAGCAGAAGGCAAGAATTCTCCTAAACAAAAGTCTGACTCAAATTTGTGTATGTAATAAACTTAAATTAAAGTAAGAAATATATTTAAAGAAAGTAATTATTATAAAGTTGTAATTTAATATTAGAATCGACTATTTAATCTAAATCTAATTTAATCTAAATTTAATTAAACATTTAACAGCAAAATTCATATTAGTTATAACTTTCAAAAAAAAAAAAACGGAAAAAGATTGACAGCTTGAAAAGATCTTAACATTGCCTTTTTAAAAAATAAATATTTATGTATGATAAAAATCCTCTCACAATTATATGAACAGATATATCTAAAATATTTATTTTAAAGAAAAAGGGATTAGTAAACATATAGCCTCTAATAATTTTAGAAAGCTGACAAAAGGTTCATTTTTTTTGTTCTCTAATTACAATATTATTACTAGAAAATTCTTCTATGTGTAATATCTCCGAACAAAAGTGTTCAAGGTGCAAAAAAAATCTAACTTCCGATAAGACTCTTGAAAAGCGAAAAAAATTCACAATACAAACGTTACCCTAATGCATTCGATGTCAAAGATTTTTTATTTATTTTTGAAGTCCAGTAAAACTATCGTATATGAGAAAACATTATGCATCTTAACCGATAGCTTAGCCGATGATAAAATCCGCGCACTCACGATTTCTAGGACAGCAACGAGATGTTTGCGAGATGTGTGACTATAAATGGATGCTTTCTCATTTGTAGATTAAATCTTCAAACATTTCTCTATGCTCCTAATTAAAAATTTATTTTTTTAGCTTTAGAACTTTTTATATCATTCATCTTTCCCCTTTTTTTCTCCATATTCCAAAGAAAGGAAAGGTAAATCGTATACAAGAAATTCGGATTTCATGAGCGCGAATAATGCTGGATTATTTCTTCGATGTACATGTACATTCATAAATTAATATCTTATTATTTCAAAAATTATAAAAAATATAAAAATATAAAAATTTTTTATTTAGTATAGCCTATTCTCCCGGTACAGAAAGGTACTAATTACAGAATATTTTATATGTATAATTCCACACTTGATTATCTTTATAGGCATATGTTTTTTTTCACTGTGTGTAATTCTATATCATAAGTAGGAATAGCAAAACAATTATGTAAATTTCTATATTTGATTGTTTGACTATATTTCTGTAAATATTGTCAATATGAATATTATATACTTCATGAATATTATATACTTACGGACATTGTGTATTGGAAGCGTGACGATAACGACGTAAAACCTTATCAGAACAGCGACACGAAATGAACTAAATCGCAAGCAGTAACTAAATATACTTTCTCGTTGAGTGCTGATAAGATAGATTGTCATTTTGTTGGTAAAATATTAAAGGTGTATATGCAATACAAATAGAAGCGTTACTATTCAATATTAGAAAACATATTTAATTTGTTAATTAAGTTAAAATAAATGTTGCTAAAATAAATGTATAATTAACATTTGAGTCTTTGTATTTTATTACATGCATAAAATAAAATAATCGTCAACATTTACAATATACGTATAACATAGATGATATAAAATACAAGAATAGTAAACATGAAAATAAAATAATAAATTCTAATAACAAATTAAATAGCTGCAAAATAATAATAACGTTTATCTAATAAAATATATTATATATTTTACAAAAGAAATGGAATAATAAATTAAACTGTCAAAATTTACTTAAAATTTACTTAAAATAAAATTCTTTTAGATACAAATTAAAAGAATCACATTATTTTTTAAATTATCATAATCAATTTAAATGACTTCAAATTAGCATAATAAATTCAATTTTTCATTAGTTGGTTACTCTTAAGTTATACAAAGATATATTTTATATTTAAATTTGTATGGATATATGAGGAAAGGGAAAATTGAAAACACGGAGAGGAAAAGTTTCTCGTCTAAAGAGATAACAACTGCAATTATTTATAAAAATGCTCTTTATGCTTATATATTTACATGTAGATCTTTTTTCTCAACAATGTCAGTAATATTAATATACTGTAATGGTAAAACCGCTATAAGTTTCCAATATGGTCGCATGCTTCTTTTTATTTAACAGATAGTACATGCTTTTCTTTGTTTCTCGAAACGAGAACGGAGGCTACTCGAATGTTTACATAATAACGCCAAAGAGAATTCTATTAATGTTAGCGGCTACTCATATAATGCTCGTTCTTTTTTATTTTGTAATAATTGTCATTTAAATGTGACGAAATCCTACGGCATATTGTACGCGCACTAAGAAAGGAGTTTTTTCTGCTTTAGCGATAACATCTTTTTTTACGTTTTGTCTTAGAAGTCTTTCATCGTTTTTCATCTTATTCCTCAAGCATACACGCGGCTTGCATGAAATGCATGAAATACACCTGATGGCACCTTGTTTAATAATACTTTACAATAAAGTTAACAATGAAAAAAAATTTTTTAATCTTAACCAATCTATATCTGAAGAATTTTACAAAAGGTATAATTTTACATGTACATACGACGACAATATTCTCGGAAGTTTATACACTAATTGAAGATTAAAACAAAAAAATGTCATAGACATTAGTAGCAAAATTCTAATTCGGGATTAAACAGAGTAAAATCGATATTTTTAAATAATTAATTAAGATTAAAAATATACATTCTGAAAATACATTAAATGGTAGAGCGTTTTTATTTGTATTTTTCATGCCGTATATATATTTTCTAAGACGATAAATTAATTAATTATTGTATTAAGTATATTAAAAATTATTGAACCAGATAAAGTTTTAGAGAAATAGGCAAGAAACGATTACAACTAACCTGGTTCCTTTCACTCTGATAACTATATTTAGTCACTGTTATTCGGCGATTTAACTAATTGCTGCATTCGTTAACTCGCATATATAATTTTCTTCCGACAATCATAGCGATACGATCTTGCTGACGATGAACCGGAGAAAGCCGTCGACGAGAGATGCGGGCAGCGACCGCTTGCAAGATAAATGCATTATGTATGTAATAAAATTCATAAATACGCAAAACGAGACTTTTCGTGCTGTACCTGATCATCGTATCCCGATCAAATTTGATACACCGTGCGAAGTCGGTGCCAGCCCGATTGCATCCGGCAAGAATATACGTCCCTTAATTAGTCGATTACAAATATTAATTAGTCAATTTCATTCTTTCTTTTAATCGTCCCACATTTTATTATCTATCGCATTTTCCTTCATAGTTAACAATTATTTTGCTTTTCTTTCTTCCTTTGGCTCCAAAATACACTATGCAAAAATGCAGCGCACGGCCGATGGCCATTTGGTAACGCGTATGTACGTATATACGATCATATTCATATTCATATGTATTTCGCATGATTTTTTTATATCAATGTAACCAGCTACCAAAGAATTACGGATATGTACAATTAATAGGGATATGCCCGGTAACGCAATAAATCCACCTTAAACGATATACAATTCGTATCACATTTCAGGATAAAAGATATTTATAATTTTGTATATCGCATATTTTGATATACGTTCAATATAGATTTTATATATATATATATATATAAAATCCGAATCTCTCTCTTCAAATTTTCTTTTGTATTACGTGGCACATAAAACTTCAAATAGAATTCTGTCCTAAATTTTGACACGAATTATAGATCATTTAAAGTGAGCTTCGGCATTCATTTGGCCTCTCGTCCGATTTTCTCGAGAATAATCTCCCGTTCGGTAATCCGTTGTTCTGCCCATCTCTCATTCTTCGCGCTTCTTCTTTTCTTCCTCTTTCTTCGTCCAGTCCGATTCGTGTTCTCAACCGACGACGAAGAAAACAAAGAGTCTTAATACTGGTAACGTTTATGTTTAGGATTGGCTCCTGGGAGCTTCCTCGGTAGTGTCTTAATCAGAGTGGTCCCAAAATATTAAGAAGTAATCGTTTCGCGTGTGCGCGCCGCTCTTAATGCGATAGTCACCTTTTAAACGTACTTAATACATTTTTTTTTGAGTCATTCTCGAAAAGGAAGGGGATAACAGAATTGAAAATATTGTCGAGCATGGATGTTGTTGGACACATATAGGACATCATAAGATATAACAACATTGCGTTTATATTGCATTTCCTATATATGATGCTATAAGTATATTTACGCTTTTATTTTCTTCTTTATTTATATTTTACACAAAAAAATAAATAATTAGTAGATAATATTAAATATTCAATATTCAAAATCAGTTTTGTCCAACAGTAAAAAAATAATACTGACACATAAACAATATAACAATTGTCAATAAATATTTTATGCGTGTCAATGGTGATAATTAATAAAATTGTTAATTAAAATTATTAAACTAAATAATGTAACGTAGACGCACTTGTTGTATCACTCCTCTTATCTGTGATTTTCGAGTTTGAATAAAGATAAAAAAATTCATATAATTTATATAAAAAAATCTAGGCAACTTATATAATCTATATAATTCATAACAGAACATTGAAATTTATAATATCGAAGGTATTCGAAACAAAGTCAAGTTATTAGGTGAATTTATGATCATGATTTTTCTTTACTAAGAGGACTGTGTAAAATCGTAATTTTTTCCATACAATGTCCACGCTTTTGGAGGCGAATTTGTTGGTTGCACATCCTTCATTATAATGTCTAGCGGCGGCACAACAACGAAGGTTACAACGGTTGCAATCGAGATGAAACGCTCGATAGACACTGTCCTTTTATCATCGATAATTCTCTTGATAAGGGGGTTTAGTCAGAGATCCAAGGAATGTCGAACATTATAATTAATTAACAATTATTAGTAGCCATTGTTTGTTACTGCTATGTACATAATGTTCTTTGAAGATGCTGCTATATATTAGGTAAATACCGTTGCAGTCAAGTACTTTGATCTAGTTCTTGCTTATCATTTAGTATAAATTATACGCGATAATGAGAGAGTACGAGTGATGCTTGTTGTACTTGTCAAGTTGCGTGATTTCGAGATTTGTTAATCTTCCGCTGTTAATATTTATAGAAAAGTTTAATGTATTCCATACCCTTGTGTAAGATGATCGGAAAACGGAAAACAGAAAAAAGGACAGGAAAAAGAAAGAGAGAAAGAGAAAGAAAACGTTTCTATGATATTTTCCAAAAAAAAGAACAAATTAACAGTATATATATATA